TTTTTACTTTGAAACAACACTGATTATAATGTTTTGGTATGACAACAGATATGATAGTTTAGCTGGATTTGAAATTTTATTTTTTATTAAATATGAGATGTGCAATACATTAAAATCTAGATAAATCTGTTTGTTCAAGTGTTTGGTTAAAGAATTTGATGTTTTCAATAAATATATTTATTTTTTCTGCATGAAAATGTGAAATGTTTAAATTTGTCCATTGTGGTACAGTGTTGCCTCGAGGCAACAAACTTTTTAAATAAATAAATAATCATTTTTATTGATATTGTTATAGTGTCCAATTTTAAGCAGGAAAAACATCACAAATATTTTTTTTTCCTCATTGATATCATATTTTATAAGCAACTGAAAAAAGCACAAATGTCAGGGCATGTCAAAACTTCTCCAGGGCCCCAAAACACCCTCGGATCCATTTCTATTTGGGAGATTAACATTTAAGGTTTATTTGCACAAAAGCATGAATGCATAGACAGTGTGGAAAAAGAATAAGCGAACGGACTGACCCAGAGTGAAAATCTCCCACAGTAAGATGCCGTAGGACCAGACGTCACTCAGCGTGGTGTACAGGTTATGAAAGATGCTCTCCGGCGCCATCCACTTCAGAGGAAGAAACGTCTGCAGACAAACACACACAGAGTTTGTTTGATTGAATGTGTTGGTTTTATTGTGTTTTATTACAGTCGTAGAGACAGTAAAAACCGCAGGATGTACGCACGCTGCCTTTGGAGATGTAGTTGTTGTCGTGCATGATGTCTCTGGCCAGTCCAAAGTCACAGATCTTGGCCAGTTTGCCCTCACAGATCAAAACGTTTCTTGCTGCCAGATCCCGATGGACACACTGACAGACAGACAGAAAGATGTTTTACTTAGCAGTCTTATTATTTCCCATTTCCGTCAGTAGATGGTCATGTGAGTTTATATTAAAACATGCATGACAGACTCTTTTGGGTAAAAGGTGAGTAATTGGATTCAAGTTATAATTTTCGGTCTAATGTTTAGAAATGGCAGGTCAGCAGTTTTACTAGCAATTGCCGTTATCTATAGTTAGCACAACACCATTTATTTTATCACGTGTTACAGATTTTATATTCAGCATTGCAAGCAGCCTAGTAAAACATGTGTAACACTATGACTTATCCTGGACTAATATGGAATAAAGATAATACAAATTTGTGAAGACGGATTGCTGAAATATGTTTAAAAATTTTGACAGATTATCTTAATACCTCATGGGGCATTTAAAGTGTATAAATACAACTATAGTCAAGAAGTTCAAGTAGTAAGGTAATTCAGTTTAAACTATTATCTTCTGTATGTTTACTGTTCATTTTATGTGAATTACATTGTATTTTTACATTGTCTAAATTAATACATTGACTGGACTGCAAAAAAAAAAAGATTTTCTTTCTTTCTTTTTTTTTCTTGTTTTCCATTACATATAAAATATTGTAAATTAACTTACATTAAATTAACTTAAAATTATTTAAGACATTAAGTTTTATTTTCTGATTTTTTTTTAGTTTATGCTTAAAACATACAAATAAATGAATACGTCAATGAGGTCAGAAAAATAAACTTAATTCAAAAGAAAAACAAGTTTATTTTGAACCCATTGACAGATATTTGTTCTGGTTAAACTCATAAACTCACTTCATTTAAGTCTTAATATCTTAAGTCATTTTGTGTCTCAAGTAAATGTATCTTGATTTAAGAATGTTTAGATATTTGTACTGGAAAAACAAGACAGAAATACTGCAGAAGAACATCATTTTTTTGCAGTTTAAACATTTCATTAATGACATTGTCGCATACCCATGTATCCCAATGTATGTGCGTGTTTAGCTTTACCTTGGGGACAAAACTGTCACCAGAAGAGACTAAACTTCTTTTAGTGGAAGTCTTAGAAAGATTTAGGGTCTGAGTTTGTCTGTAGGCTTATTATTAAACAACAGAAGTGACATGTGCTCATTTAAATGTTTGTGTGTGTGTGTGTGTGTGTGTGTGTGTGTGTGAGACAGAGACTCACGTTCTTTGATGCCAGGAACTGCATGCCCTTGGCCACCTGATAACTGAAACCCACGAGATCAGTGTAGCTCAGAAGCGGAGAATCACTGATGACCAGTTAATATATTTATATAAGTTTAAGTTATTTTAGTACTGCAACAAGACTTTATATTAAGCCATTTTGCTTCTTAGGTGAATATAACTTGATTTAAGAATAAATAGATATTACTACAGGAAAAAGTCAAAAATACTAAGCAAGAAAATATTTTTTGCATTGATGCTGTACTGTATTTATGAGGGTTTTCTAAGGTTGAGAGAAGCTGAATTCACCCTGACATCCTCTCAGCTGAAATTAAATAATTAAAATACATCACAAACAATAAATCAATACAAAAATAAACAATGAGAATTTTTAGTCGGAATATTTAAATTGTGCAGAAACCTCAAGTGTTTCATGAAGTTCAAGGCACATCTTGTAAGAGAAGGAAGTGAAACTTTAATGAGCATCGGTTAGGAAAGAGATCTCTATGTCACACAGATGGCGTCTGTGCTCAACCTGAAGACCTTTGCAGCAACAAGGGCCAAAGATCACACAGCGAGGCATGATGGGAGCTTTAGTAAAAAAGTTTCGGGAAGCTTCCAGTACATCTGCGCAACTAGACGAGACCTACAGTCTTACACTATGCTCTCAACTTCCTCTGAATCACCACAATATCACAATGTTAAAATATAAATATAAATACGGACTATTTGATCAAAATAACCATTTCATGTGATTACTTAAATGAATTATATCCAAATTCATGTCGATAAACCAGGTGTGGCAGTGCTGATAATAAACCCTGTGACAGTCATTGCAGCAAATTAACGTTTGAATTATTGAAAAAACCTGCATATTGTGATTATGTATTAAATTAAATAATAAAATATATAAAACATTGCATTGCATTTCATTTTTAATAATATATTTAATTTAGAATTTTATATAGGCGTCTAAGGTTTTCAGGGTTGTTGCTATAGGTGTTTCTAAAATGTTCTGAAATAATTGTTTATTATTATTCTTATTAAATGCCATGCAATTAAAATGCAAACTTTTATATACTTTTTTAAAATTCATATATTTATTTTCCTGAAATAATTGTTTATTCATTATTATCAATGTTGAAAACAATTGTGTTGCTTCATATTTTTGTGGAAACTGTGATACATTTTCTTTTTCAGGATTCTCTAATGAATAGAAAATTTTACTGTCACTTTTGATCAATTTAATGCATCCTGGATGAAAAAAAAAAGTATTAATTTCTTATTGACCCCAAACTTTTAAATGGACGTGTATCAGTATCCACAAAAAAAATTTGAAGCAGCACAACTGTTTTCAGCATTGATAATAATCAGAAATGTTTCTTATAATTGTTAATTGTGATTATTATGAATAATTATTATTTTATTTACTTTTCTGAATTTACTGTGCTATTAATTATTATCAATAATAAATGCAATGAAATTAAAAAAATAGTTTTCTGAAATAATTGTTTATTGTGAATATTATTAATAATAAATGCAATCAAAATGCACAGTTTTATATATTTTATATAAATTCAAAAAATTGTATTTGCATAAAAGAGATTTACTATTAATAAATGCAATGCAATTAAAATGCACAATTGTATATGTTTTATAATGAATATTTTTTATTTATATATTTAATTTATTTTATGTAGGTATTTAAGGTTTTCTGGGTGGTTGTTGTAGATGCTGTTCTAGGAAGACTGATTAAATGTGGTCAAATCACAGTAATGCAGAGCTTTGAGAAGCTTGTAGCTGCAGTTGATCTGAAGGTCTGCAGACAGTGGGTTGAGTATGTTCTGTACCTTGCTCCTGGTAGATGTCTTGCTGGTAAGGAGACTCGTAGGGTGATGGCTGGATATCTGCATACTTGATGGAGTCTGAGAGCTCCTGCATTGGCACGTATTCGGTCTGCTTGTCTTTGGTCATGTCCATGTATCCTCCATCACACTCGCTGCCGAACGACACGTATCTGCAAAGCACAGATATATAACCTGATTACATTTGGCTTACTTCATCAAATGCTACACTCGAGCATGATTGATATTTACCATAGCATTTCATGTTATTTTTAAACGTACACTACCGGTAAAAAGTTTGGAATAACTACGATTTTTTTAAAGTGTTTGTTTCCTGTGCTCACCAAGGCTGCATTTATTTGCTCAAAAATACACTAAAAACGGTGAAATATTATTACTATTTTAAATATTGTAAAATGTGATTTATTCCTGTGATCAAAGCTGAATGTTCAGCATCATTACTCCAGTCTTCAGTGTCACACGATCCTTCAGAAATCATTTGAATATGCTGATTTGCTCAAGAAACATTTCTGATCATTATCAATGTTGAAAACAGTTGTGTTGCTTTCATATTTTTGTGGAAACTGTGATGCATTTTATTTTTCAAGATTCTTTGATGAATAGAAAGTTAAAAAGAACAGCATTTATTTGAAATAGAAACCTTTTGTAACATCACAATTGTCCTTACTGCCACTTTTGATTAATTTAATGCATCCTTGAATAAAAGTATACATTTCCAAACTTTTAAACAGTAATGTATCATGGTTTCCACAAAAACATGAAGCAGCATAAAATCAGCATATGTGACCCTGGAGCACAAAACCAGTCTTAAGTCGCAGGGGTATATTTGTAGCAATAGCCAAAAAAACATTGTATGGGTCAAAATTATAGATTTTACTTTTATGCCAAAAATCATTAGGATATTAAGTAAAGATCATGTTCCATGAAGAAAATTTCCTACTGTAAATATATCAAAACTTAATGCTTGATTAGTAATATGCATTGCTAAGAACTTCATTTGGACAACTTTAAAGATGATTTTCTCAATATTTAGATTTTTTTGCACCCTCAGATTCCAGATTTTCAAATAGTTGTATCTCAGCCAAATATTGTCCTATCCTAACAAATATATTCTTACTTATTCAGCTTTCAGACGGTGTATAAATCTCAATTTCAAAAAATTGACCCTTATGACTGGTTTTGTGGTCCAGTGTCACATATTAGAATGATTTCTGAAGGATCACGTGACACTGAAGACTGGAGTAATGATACTGAAAATTCACTTTTGCATCACAAGAATAAATTACATTTTACAATGTATTCAAATAGAAAACAGCTACTTTGAATTGCAATAATATTTCACAATTTGTACTGTATTTTTAATGGCTTAAATAAATAATTAGTTACATCATTAAAGAAATGCAGCCTTGGTGAGCTGAAGAGACTTCTTTCAAAAACATAAAAAAAAATAAAATAATAATTCCAAACTTTCATTGAAATGTGCAATAGAAGAATGAAATCACATGTTCATTTGTCCGTAATGAACTCTTACTCTTTCCTGGTCGACACATCGCTGTCGTTACAGATCTGGCTGTGGTTCTTGTCGGCGTAGTGCTGCAGGAAGCTGTGCTTGTTCCTGTGCAGATAGTCAACCAGATCGCCATAGCGACAGTATTCTGTCACCAGATATAGCGGACCTGTGGAACAAGAAATAAAGATACCACAAACCTGAAATGAACACATCAAAAGGTCTGATCGGTCCCACTTTATATTAAGTGGTCTTAACTATTATGTACTTACATTTAAATTAATAATTTGGTACAATGCACTTTTTGTGTACATACATGTTTTTACATTGCACTTATATTTAAAAAACAAATACCTGCATGTAATTACATCTGTAACTACATTTATAATTACACTGTTGACCCATCCCTTACACCTTAACCCACCCTTAAACCTACCCAAACCTGCCCCTAACCTTACCCGTATCCCACCTCAATAGCAGCAAAAAGTGTTTTGCAATACAATATGAACACAATAAGTACATTGTACTTATTTTTTGATGAAAGTACATAGTAGTTAAGGCCACTTAATATAAAGTGGGGCCGTCTGATCTAAGGAGTTCAGCAGCTTTAAATGTCTAGGAAGGCTCGGCTGCTTAAGCGTGCGTCCCGAGCGCTGCAGTCTGCTCACCGGGTTTGGTACAGGCGGCCAGCAGGTTGACGATGTTGAGGTGAGGACCCAGGTGACTCATGATCTTGAGTTCAGACATCAGAGCTCGAGTCTCGCTCCTCCGAGCCGTCGCTGCAGTGAGCAGACAACACGATTAACTACGATCATCAATCACACTCACATACGTGTGTGTAACCTCACGCACATTTCAGCATTTTCACTGCCACTTTAGTGGCGGATTGGGAACGGCCGAGACCGTACGCCGTCGCCTCGACAACACGCCCGAAGGCTCCAGATCCCAGCGTCCGACCTGAAGAAACACGTGCATTTCAATACATAAACATCTGGACTTACCAACAGTGAGTGGTTGCTAGGCAGCTGCTAAATAGTTGCTAATATAATCTAGTGTTCTTGACCACATTCAGTGTCCATCTACAGGAAAAGCTGAGTGTTAAGATAAGACTCTACGGTGTGTCCCGCTCTCACCCAGCACCAGACTGTCCCGCGGCATCTCCCAGGCCAGGTCATAGGGCAGGTCAATGGGGTCGACGTAGATGTACTCGTGTCCATCCAAACTGACCGATTCAATCACCTTCCACCTGATTTCATAGCGCGGCTTCTGCAACAATGTGGAGTTCCAGTTCAGCAATGTTAAATCTAAATGCTAAGTCTCAGTCAGACAGACAGGATGTGAGGTCACTGACCTTCCTCCACACAGCGATGAGGATGATGATGGAGATGATGGCGATGACCACCAGCGCTAAGACAGCAGCCAGAACGGCCACCTGAGAAAACAATGCTGGAGAGAAAACAGTTTTTATCAACTCAATTAAAAAACACACTAAATACTGATTCTCACAGCTGAAGTGTCATTTCTGGGTGTATTTTCAACCACCTTCATAAAAAGAAACACTTTTCACCATCCAATCAAATATTAATGGACATCAAGTACATTCTTAATAAATTATTTACATTTAAATTAAGTGAATTTTTGTTTTTGCAGTCATATAGAGACATGCTGCATTAAATCATCCTGATTTTTATCATGACGGTTTATGGTTTGGTTTGGTTATGCTCTGTGCTTTTTCTTTCTCACTATCCAATTTACTCTTAAATATGTCAAAATTGGAAAGTAGGGCAAAACGGGACAAAACTAAAAGGTTTAAGGTGACTTCAAATCAAGACAACTAGGCTCCGTATCATATATAGTGTACAAAGTGTTTCCTAAATTCCTGTTATTTGATGAAGAACAACAGAGACAGGAAATGATATCAGTCAAAAATATTAATACAAACAAAACTTCAATGAACAAACTATAAATTATTTAAGGATGCTTAAAGGGTCACCAAGTAATTTTTTCAATAAAAAGAAAGAATGCATTTGCTTATTATAATTTTATTTTATTTATTTAATAAATTAAACTACATTTTTGCATTTTCAATTACTTGTCATATAGATGTTACATGTCATATATTATTTATTTATGTTATAATAAAATAAATAAAAATAAATAAAATATAAAATAAATACAATTGAATTAAATACCATTTTTGTGTGCATTTTCAATCTTTTATCACATGTTAGAGACATGTTTCACTATACAATCAATTACCAATGGATAAAACAATAAAATGCTTAAAGGGGAAACAAGCCATTTTTTAAAAATTACTTAAAATAGATGTTTTTATGTTATTTATTTATGCTACAAAATAAAATAAAATAACAAATGAAATAAAATGAACAAGTAAAATGAAATAAATAAATAAAGTTAAAGAAAATAAAAATATAAAATACAATTTTAGTGTGTATTTTCACTTGTGTGTATTTAGCACTTGTCACACAGAGAAACAGAGACTGGATAGGTTTCACTATTCAATCAATCACATCATGTGCTACATTTTTTTTCTTATTGAATAACCCTTAAACATTAAAATATGTGAAGTTAGGAAAGTCAAATGGGACAAAACCAAAGGCTCGTGTTGACTTTAAATCAAGGCAGCCCAGCTAATATATAAGACTGCGGGCTCATATATATATATAGAGTCAATAAGAAGTGTTTCCCGCAGCTCTGGCAGGTGTTTGTGTTTCTGGGTTTTCTCACGGCTGAACCAGTATCAGGTTCTCAATGAGCTCAACGGGTTTCAGGCCACATTCACGGAGCTAATGAAAGCAGTCCTGGAGGATCATGGCATTACAGCCAAAGTCACTCTGTGTTTGATCTCCACGGGTGCTGCTCCATTCAGTGGATCCTCATTTCACACATTCACAAAGAGGCTTTAACACCCTCCCGACACACACACACACACACTCGCACATTACTCACTGCTGTTGACCAGTCTGATGTCTCGGGCTCGAGCTCCTCTCTCGTTGCGGGCCTCGCAGCGGATGGTGAGCAGCTGCGGCTGCAGGAGAGTCACCTGACTGTGCACCTGGTGGATCTTGTGTGTGATGTTGTAGCTGACGTTGGTCTGGATGGTGACTTTCTCGGGATCCTCCACTAGAGGGCTCCACGCCACACTTCTGTTACTGCACCTGATGACAACAGACGGGAATACTAGTGTACTGATGACTGCATACTGTACATTACAGTACATTACATACTGTACACTTATTACATAATACTAGCATATGTTTGCATATGTGCATAAATACTAGCATTTGTGTTTCTCCAATTTTCTGTAAGATATAAAAAAAATATTTATATATATGTAGGGGGCAAACACTTCTTCACACAGGGCCATGTAGTTTTGAATTTTGTTTTCCCTTAATAATAAAAACCTTCATTTAAAAACTGCATGTTGTGTTTACTTGTGTTATCTTTGACTAATATTTAAATTTGTTTGATGATCTGAAACATTAAAGTGTGACAAACATGCAAAAAAATAAGAAATCAGGAAGGGGGCCAACACTTTTTCCACACCACTGTATATATATATATATATATATAGTAGGTCATCTGGTATTTCATCCAGAGAAAAAATTTACATTCTGTAAACTCTGTGTGCACTGGATGCATACTGCAAATATTGAGCAGTATGGTAGTGTGCCATTATAAATCTTCCCAAACACATAAAAAATTGAAATCTGAATACTTTATACAATATGTAATATGTACAAAATGCACAAAGACAATTTACAAACCAGAACAAACACACCCAATAATATACGTGCATTATATCTGCTCGCACACTTAAATCTGCGCCCTCATAAGTGTGCTGCACCCATGAAGGAAGTGTGCTGTGACAGGAGAGGTGTGCACTAATGGCCGTTACAGCATGTGTGCTATATATTATTCATACAGAAGTATTTCTGTGCAGCTCTTTGGTGTTTTAATCAGCATGTGCGCAGCGTTTGGATGATGGACAGACAACCTTCATTATGCTGATGTGTTTGTTTATGTAATGTGCAAACTCATTAGCTCTATATTTACTCATCTCGCAAACAGCTCGTATTAAATATGAATGAGAGTCATTAAAGGGGAAATATTTTTAAAATGTTGGCTGATAATCTAGTATTGCATCTCACGGTATGTGCTGCTCACTTTGGTGGGAGCCTAACAAATGCACAGATTCATATAAGATGTATTTGTCAGAGGTGGGACCAAGTCATTGTTTTGCAAGTCACAAGTAAGTCTCGAGTCTTTGCATCCAAGTCTCGAGTCAAGTCCCGAGTCAAGACAGACAAGTCCCAAGTCAAGTCCCGAGTCAAGACAGGCAAGTCCAAGTCGAGTTGCAAGTCCTCAGCTTTAAGATTCAAGTCTTAAACAAGTCATTAGTGCTCTTTGCCCAAATTAGTGTCTCAGTATTAATTACCATATCAAATGTATAGTAATTTATATCAGGAAGGCAGGTAGAATATGTTTGACATAGTTACATTTCATGTGAGATGGATGCCCTTAGTAAAACTACTCAAGTTCAATTTAGGGATTGTGCCAAAATAGGATAAGCAGTGAAAAAAACTTTCATAGAAATAACAGCTGCAACATACTTTGCATGTGTGCATAAGAATAGCTATATGCTTCTAGGTGTTATATCTGCTAATGAGACATTATTTGGAACCTCAATGAAACAGATTTAAAAATATGTGAGCAGAAACGCAGAAAGAACTGCTTTGAAAGAACTAGAAGAAATAACTGCAAGCATACTTTGCAAGTGAGAGGAAACATGCAATATGGATGCAGACAAACTAATGAAGACAATCATTCAAAAATGCTGTGCTACCATCCTTTATAACTAAGAGTAACAAAGACAAAATCATTTAATAGAAAAAAAATGTTGTATGTTAAATGTTAA